TTTTCGCACATCGCTTTTTATAAACACTTTTCATGGGTTAATAGTTGCTCCAAAAACGAAAAAAAATAATAAAAAGAAGAAGCAAACATTGCCAACTATAATAATAACTTTTCTTCTATTTGATAACAACTGTATACCTAATATGAAGACCACCGATTTGCAGATAGATAGCTTCAAAACCAAGTACCGAACAAATGTCGCTGACAGTGGTCTCGATTGTAACCGGAAAAACAATTGATCGAGAACCGGTCGGTGCGTACAAACGTAAAAAACCGCGATCCGCAAATCCGTTAAGCCATGCTCGTTTTTTGCGTAGTGTTAGCCGTTCAAAAACAGCTCTTTTTTTCTAAAAATTAATCACAACTAAAGTATATCAATTGATTTTCCTTAATTTCCTCTTTTAAATCAATTAAAGCAACTGTTTTGTTGTCAGTCATCTCATTGAAGACCAGCAGCAACTGAATAAGCAGTCATAAGCATACTGTACAGCATTTTCTATGTCCATATCTATTCGAATCAATAAATTTTCAAAATAATAGAAAAATAGAAATAAATTGAAATTTTTTTCAAAAGATACCTTTTCGACAGTTTCAAAAATATTATTATCACTATTTTTCATTTCAAACCGACATACTGTTGCCCTTTTTTTTTGTATCTGCGCTTCTGAGTTTCTTAGTTTTGTCAGCAGTTATACGGTTAAATTACTGCTTTACCGTTTGAACAAAACCTAAACTTTACAGTTAAATTATAAAAAAAAAAATAAAAGATAAACGAAAATCAACATTAGCCGTTACTACGACCTTTGTAAAAGTGTTTAAAACAGTACGATTACATAAAGTAACTGGAAACTTATTGAAGTTTCCGATACCACTCAACATTCACAAAGTCATCTCAACGTTAAGTTTAAATACCGGTTACAATATTAACATCATACAAACCATCTAATTTGCTATATTCATATTTTATACATCTTTACATGAGTTTCTTGAGTGCAACATTTTTGTAGACAGTAATCATTAAATTAACATACAATTAGTGGTCTTTTAATTAAAAAACTAAAATTATCTGAACGAAACTTAGCGGTAATCAATAAGATGTGCATAATTCAATGAAATGAAATAATCTAATGTATACTTTATGCTCAAAAAACTTAAAACAGTTTGAAGGTTATTGTACAATTAACTTGGAGTGATCGTCAAAATATTAGTTCAACAATTTCATTCTATTCACTTTTTTTTTTTTTTTATTTATCTTAATTGTATATACATAAGTGTAGAATGCTAAGAAACCACAAATGTGACGGTAGAACAGCAATTGGCCATAATGTGTTTCTACTAGAAATTTTGGTTGAGCAGAAAAATTCAAAAGTTACATATACAATTTATAGACCAATTTTTAGAAACAAATTTTTTATATTCATTTGTTTAAAAGTAAAAATTTCAAAAAAAAGCCCAAAATATGAATATATTGACA